AGCAGCGCGGGCGGCAGGCCGGCTGCGGGCGGCTTCTCGACCACCGCCCAAACCGCCCAGCATAGCGAGAGCGGCATCGCGTGCGCGTGCTCCGGCCACGGGAGCACGCTGCCCAAGAGCTCCACCGCCGACTCGCACCGCTGCCGGGCCTCGCCACCCGCTCTGCTGCTGCTGCCGTCCGCACCGTCGCCGTCCGCATCGCTGACGGCCACATCGTTGCCGCTCCCACCACTCCCGCCTGCATCCTTGCCGTTCCCACCACTCCCGCCGCCGCCGCCGTCTGCCGGTGGCGTCGGGTCTGGTCCCAGCGCATCTGCCATGTGTCCGGTGGCAAGGGCGAGCTCCACTGCTTGAGGGAGCCAAGCGTCTGCCGAAGCGCGCAGCACTTCGGGCTGCGCACCCGCGAGACGCCGCAGCAGGCTGACGGCCAGCTCCGAGGCTGCCGGTGGCGACGGCGGGGCGCACGCCTTGCCGAGCGCGCGGACCACGGCGGTCGTGTGTGTGGCGACGGGGTCGTCCGTGACGTAGCTCAGACTCCCGCCCTCATCGTCCGGCCGCAGCACCAAATCGAGCGCGGAGAGCGCCACGGCCTGCGCCCGCGCTTGCGTCGCCACGGTCAGCGCTGCGAGCTTGCACAGCGCCGCCAGCATACGCGTTCCGACGCCTCCGCGGTCGAGCGCTGAGCCGCGAGTCTGGGGCGCCGAGATGAGCGAAAAGAGGAGCCGCGCCACCTCTGGCAGCTCGCGGCCCTCCTCCAGGGCAGCTTCGGCCGCGCTCAGCATGTCGGGAACCGAATTCACCGTCTCTGCCGAAAGCATGTCGCAGGCGCTCGCGTCTGCGAGAAGGGCGATGACTGGGTCGCACATTTCGCCGAGGGTTTTGCTGAGCGCGCTGCCAGGACGCGAGGCGCGAGCGGGCGAGCAGCACACACCGGCAGCGCGCAAAAGAAGGTGTGCCGCGGGACCGGGAGGCGGTAAGTCGTCGTCGCCTCGCGCTGCTTGCAGCACATGGCGAGGGCGCTAAGAGGTTCCTCTTTTCCGCGCCCCCACCGCAAGGCGCGCGATACACACGAATTTTACAACCCCGCACCTTGACTTGTCTATTTTCTTTCTTTTTCGGGCACGAGAAGCAAAAGAAATTACACTAAAAAAGAAGGATTGCGTTTGTTTCATAACATCGAAGGCTAGCTCAAAAAGCAGGATTCAGTTCTCTGAATGAGCCTCTCACAGGTGCCACATGATATGTCTAGAGACCCCCGTTCGCGCTGGGAGGGACACTACAGTATCTCAGTATCTTGGAGCGCTCTACATATCAAGACCTGCGAGAGCGAAAGAAGCACAACACCCGACAGCTCCGACAGCACCCGACAGCTACGGAGCACCTCTGATGTCAGACACGCACCCGACAGCACCCGACAGCACTGACAGCACCTGACAGCTGGTCTGGCAGAGGCACCTAACAGTGCCTGACACAGTGCCTGACTGCTGTGACAGATCACCTGACACAAGCACCTGACAGCCTGACAGCCAGGGCTCAGCCAACCTGCTCCGTGCACCGTGGCCGTGAGGCCGTGGGGCACGACCACGAGAAAGGGCGTGTGGACTGGCGCACACTCTAGCACACCAGCAGAGCAAAACAAATTACACTTATCTTCACAGCGACACCGCGCCACCGCGCGGGATCTGAAAGTCGACGTTGCCGGAGCGCAGCGCGATCGGCGTGAGCTCGCCGCCGGCGACGGCCGCCAGCTGGCCGAGCAGCACCCGCAGCCACTCGTGCGGCCGCGCCGCCGGCAGCAGCACGTCGGCCGCCACGCCGGCGTCGTCGAGCTGCACCGAGAGCACCGGCACCATCGGGTGGCCCGTGACGGCGCCGCACACGGCGGGCCGCCACGCCACGACCGCGTGCAGTCCGGCGCCGCAGAGGCCCACCGTCGTCTCGACCCAACTCATCGGCCGCTTGCCACTCGCGTCGTGCGCCTCCATCACGTGCAGCCCGGGCCCGACGCACCGCTCGCCGTACCGCGTCGTCGCCCGCGGCCTCTCGCCCCACGCGAGGGTCGTCT